TGCCGTTGCTGCGAACGTCGTGATCAGTTCGGTAATCCCCTCGCACGGATCGTGCCCCATATGAAGCTTCATCGACCATCCTGGCAGGGGCGTACTTAAAGTGTCTCCGCGCTCATTTCGGCACGCCCCCCAGCGCGGACTGCAGCCCGCAATGGGCTCCACCCGCAGGCTCAAGGGGGGCGCCCCCAAAGCTTATCCGCAACCACTACGGCACGCCTTTCCCGCGGCTCGCGCCACTGAGGGAATTTCGCCTACGGCCGTCGCGGGGGCGCTCCAAGTGCGCCTCCATGCCCGCGTCGGCACGCCCCTCGCGAAGATCGCGCCCATACAGTTGTGGCCCCATTTGGAATTCCCATGGCGTCTCCGCTCCCGTTTTTGGCACGCCTTTTCAAGCGGATGGCGCCCCGCAAGGAGCGCCGCGTACAAGCCCAGTAAGGGCAGTCATATTTGCGCATGGCGTAATCGTGCAAATGTCTGCTTGCGTTTGAACAGATCGTGCTCCGCATGGCGGCTCCGCGCACGGCCCTGGCGCGGAGGCCCCCCCCCCGGCTATGTCGTCGCACCTTTCAATCAGGTTGTGCTCCCTGTGGAGCTTCACCTGCAGTCCCAGCGGGGGCGTCCGCATGCGGTCGCCCACTTTCCATGGCCACGGGGGACTATGCAAAATCCGGAAACTATAGGAGAAAAATCCAAGGCCCGATTGGTGTATAGAATTTCGGGACGACGAAAATTTCGGAATGTATCAGGCAGAACGGCCCGCCGAAATTTTATACACCGATCAGGCCATAGGAATTCGCCCTATGAGCCTCCCAGAATTTCTGTGGCCCCGGTGACCCTGGGCTTCGCTCCCAGCCACCGATAGAACCGGCCGCAGGCAGGCCGTGGCAGGCGGTGGTGCCCCATTTGTGTAGGACTGGAAACCACATCACAATACCTTGACGCTCCGTTTTCGTTTTTTATGGGGTTAGAGGGGACGGAGAGGGCGGCAGGGATACGGGGCCTGGATGGAGCGATTGGGGGGGGGATCGGGGCAGAGACGGGCGGGGAGTGAGAGGGAAAGGGAGGGGCTGGCGGGCGCAGGGAACGGGAGTGGGAGCGGGGAGTTCCGAGCGAAAGGCATGGGAGCGGGGAGGGGGACGGGTGAACGGACAGTGGGGGGTGGAGGAACGCAGGGGGGGGGAGGGAAGGAGTCTGTGAACGGAGACGGAGGCTGGAGGCGAGGTCGTGGCGGGGTCAATGGGGGGGCGATGGCGAGTTGGGAAGGGAGGGAGGGTGATCGTGGGGACGCGGGCCCGTCGCCCATATTTGGCTCAAACCCCCTTGGCGGCATCATTTCCAATCGGGCCAGAGTTTGTACTCCTCCCCTCCCCAATGTGGTGGATGGGTTGGGGTGCTGGCGAGCAGGCCCGCGCGCGTTCCCCGGCCAGCGTGCGGCCCTGTTTAAATTTTCTCGCGTGCCCGGCTACGGGCACGCATTCATGGCCTCGAAACGAGGCACCCCTCGCCTAGAGACGGCATCACCACCATGGGCGGCGGTTTTCCGCCATGGGTGCCGGGGCCGCTGCGGCCTTGCCCGCCCCTGGACAAACGCGCCCAGGCGGGGCGCATGGCGCTTGCTCCCTCTATCGGCCACTGCGCCAAAACCGCTTTGGCCCAACACTCAAAACAAAAATCGGCCCGAACAGGTCGGTGTATATACACACGCCTCCCAGGCGCCCTCGCAGCCAGAGCTCCCGCGCACCTCCCGCCCAAGACTCCGACGACCCCCGTTCCCCCTTCTGCTTGGATTTGGAGGCCACTTTCGAGGGATTCGTCGATGGTACGCCGCCGGGCTCGAGACGACTCGACCAGTTTGCTTTCCCCCCCATGCTCCAGCGACACATTCGGGAGGCGCGCGCGCCCCCGCCGCCGGACCTCGCCTCGACCGAGCGGGGTGGGCCTGGCGTCTCGCGCCTTCAGCCCCCGCGGTGCTCGACGAATCGCTGCGGCCTCCCAGCGGCGACCGCGGCGCGCGGGGCCGCCGCGAGAGCCGCTGGCCAGTGGGGGGCCGAGGGCGCGGCGGGCGCCCTTCCCGCGACGCGCGTTCCGCCCTGCCGGCGCAGGGCCTGGGGGCCCAGGCGGCGGCCGCCGCCGCGGGCGGAGCGGCGCGTCCGCCGCCGCCGCCGCCGCGGCTTCAGCAAAAGCAAGCACCGCGCGGGCTCGACCAGCAGGGGGCCTCGAAAGCGTTCAGCCAGCTCTTCCAGAACGCCGACGCAACGTGCGGACTTCAGCGCAGCGACGTCATGGGCCCAGGCGAAGAAGCGCCCCCAGTCGAGCTCATCCAGGCCCTCTCCCCCGCGCTGGTTCGCGCAGCCCTGAAGAACGCACGGGGCCTGGCGGCTCTCGAGGCGGCGGCCCATCGCGCCATCCACTTCGACCGAGACCATCTGGCGCGCAAAGCCATGAGGGCGACGGCCAAGCACTGCGTGGACGAAGCCAACCGCATCCGTCGCGACAGCCAACGGCAGCTTCGCGAGCAGCAGCCCGTTCCAGATTTGGACGCGTTCGGCGCCCCTCATCCGCATCTTTGGCTAGCGCTGGCCGGCGGAGTCGCTCGGCAGGGCGAGCGCGTCGGGGCCGTCAATCGCGCCGCGTTGAGCCAGTGCATGGATCAGATCATGGGCGACCCGGCCATCACCGACGGGGCGCTCTGCGCGCAGGTCCGCCGCCGCAGGATCTCGCTCACGCGCGACCGCGAGCCGATGATGGTGCGCGTCGAGGCTCGCCGCGCTGGCGCGCAGCAGCAGTTGCTCGACTCCTCGAAGCAGCGCGGGGCCAGGCTCGCGAAGGGGGCGCCGCCCCGCTCTCGCCAAGCGCGCTCGATGCAGATATCCCTGGACGGGACCGAAGCCTAAGCCCGACTGCTCGAGGGCCAGGGTCGGCGAGGGCCAGGCGCCCCCCGAGCCCGGGCCCCGCCTCGCGTCGCCGCGGCCTCGGAAGTCAGGGCGCCCGACAGAGCTCTGCGTCGCCATTAGTTTTGCTGAGGCTCGAAAGCCAGGGCGCCCGCGAGGGCTTAGCGTCGCCGCTGGTTTTGCCGGGGCTCGAAGGCCAGGGCGCCCGATGGGGCCCAGCGTCGCCTCTAGTTGTGCTCGGGCAGCTCGAGACGGGGGGGTGGGGAGCGCGGCAGAGTCAGAGTACCGGCGCCCCTCGGGCCTTTTTCCTTGGGATGTCAGTCGCGGGCCTGGTCCCGGGGCGCTGGCTCGTTTCGTTCCATGGGTTCCTTGCGGCGCGTGCCCCCCGCCTGCCTGCGTGGAGGTAGGCCCGTAGTCTTGTCGAGATCCGCCGCTTCTGGTCACGGGGATCTGTCCGTTCTGTGCGCCGACGAGCGCGTGGGCCCCTCCGCGCGCGATGCGCCGCATTAGAGGGGTTTCGATGAGCTAGAGCCAGTTTCAGAAGTTTCAGCATCGGCCGAAACCTGACTCGCGCCCCCGATGCGCCCGCCGCCGTCTCTTTCGCCGCCGCCGCCGCCATCGCGTTTTACAAATAGGTATAGGTAATATGATATTCCGCAGATATCTGCGTGCGCACTCAAGCGAAAAAAGGGGCGCGCCGGCGTCCGTCGTCGCCCGTCGCGGCGGCTGGCCGGCCCCTTCCCTTCCCAAGCTTGGGTGCGTACCTATCCGCCGTTAACGGGGAACCCCGTAAAGCCATGTCGGAATCTTTTCTCCAACCAACCGAGGGGGTGGTCGGCATATCGTCTGAAGAGGAGAATGTAGGGACCCACAGTGAGATATTCTGCCATACCCATGGCGAGTTATTGGTTATCAGCCGAAGCATCGCCCCGAACCCGCCGGTGGTTTTCTGGGGCCGTGGCGCGCCCAACGCAAGGGTCGGGTGGGCTCGTGGCTCGGCTTGGCTGTAGGTTAACTCTGATGGCGCCAGCCGCGCGCAGTGGATCCGCAGCGGAAAAATGGTTGACGTCGTCCTGCGCGCGCGCCGCGGGGGGGCTGCAGCACGCAAGAAACATGTCTGACAGCGCCGCGATCGCGCGCATTGTGCGAAGCCCGCGGGGGGGCGGTTGTTCATGCGCGCGCGCCATCCCGGCCAGACAGAGGCACTGAATCGCGGGGCCATGTAAGATGTTCGCATGTGCGGTTCCGCTCGTGGCGAATCGCGCAGCCCTCGAAGCGTGCGCGTCCCTCGGCAAAAAACATCCCAAACTAATGGGTACACTCGGCCTGCAGGGGTGGGCGCGCGAACAGAATTCTGCTAGATGCACATCAGTAAAATCAGACTGATTTTTTCTTTGTGAAGAGATGACAAACTATTTTTTTGGAGCGCGTCAAGATGCTCGAGCCGACATGTCTGGCTGTCCGTTTTGCCTGGGAGACCACGCTGCGCCCCCCCCCCCCCCCCTGGCGCGACCCGCCTGCCAAAGCTAGGAGAGCGCGTGCTGGGCCCAGGATTGGCCTGAGGAGTGTCGGTGGGTGTGCACAGTCCCCCGCTTTCTACCACAATGGTATCAAACAAGGTTGGCTCACGCAGCGGGCTTTCGTGCGCTGGGTGTGCGCAGGATAACACAACTTTGAAGACTCCCCCCTCCGTTCGACCTGCCCTGCGTCCATCTCCCGTCGAGGCCCGCGCCGCCCGCGAACCGCGCCCCATTTCGCTCCAGCCCTCGACTGCAAGGCCTTGCGGCGCGCGGTACAGCTCCATGGCAACCGACTTTCTGGACCCGTAAGTAAGCGCACATCGCTCCGCAGCTGTCAGCGCTTTGGAGGAGCTCGCATAACTTGGCGGCACGCTGAAAGGGGGGAAGTGAGAGGGGACAGGCCTTTTCAAATGGCGAAACCCGCTGGCCCTGGGAGAAACATCGCGCATGTGTTCAAACGGCCAGAGAGTTGCTGGGCTTTCTGGGAAGGCCCGCCCCCTGTGCCTCCCCCCGTGGGCGCGCCGCCGGATTGGATGGGGTGCCCGAGCTTCGCAGCCTGGCGGCCCCGCGAGGGGGCGGACGGATAAAGGAAACCCCAGGTGGCTCAGGGATCACATGATGGACTTCTGCCTCCACCCCGACACGGCAGTATGCACTTCGTACACCGTTTGTTGGGCCTTGCTTACCAGGCACGTCGTGAAGCTGATCCACGGCGCCTGCGACGAGAACGCGCGCGTGTTCGCGGAGATGCCCGAGGAAAATGTGTGAGTGCGGTTGGTCATGGGCCTTCCTCGCCCTCCTTCTTGTTTTTCCGCGCTCTCTTCCTCCTCCTCTTCCTCCTCCTCCTGCTCCTCCTCCTCTACCCATCCTCCTCCTCCTCATCCTACCCTTCCTCCTCATCTCCTCCTCCTTCTCCTCCTCCTCCTCCTCTTCCTCCTCCTCCTCCTCCTCCTCCTCTCCCCCTTTCCTTTCTCTCTCCTCCTGTCCCCTCTTCCTCGTCTCTTCTTCTCCCAGCGCGCTGTTTCACGCTACCACTGGGCCGTCAGGAAGGACTGTCGGCAGCTGTCCCCGCGGACAGCTCGCCCGAAACAGTCGTCAGCAGTCCCCCGACCCTCAGGGGCAACGATACGGGGGGATAGGCATAGGTGGGATGCATCGACCCCCAATCGCCCACTGAATGCCGTTTGGGACCCGATAGCACCAACTTGCCCAGGAAGGTGCGGATTCACTATCGGAGGCTTGTCGCCGAACTATTGGCGATGTATCGCCGATTCCAGTTCGATGCACACACCCCGGGCCAGTCCCCCCTATCGTTGACCCTCAGACCCCCCCTCCTGTCAGCCCCTGCCCGAACAGGCTCCGCGTTCCGTGCTCGCTGTGACGTGCCGTCGGGTTGGACTGGCAGCAGGCGGGCCAGCACCACCACTGCTGGAGAGAGGGCGACCGCTGGCCTCCACCCGCTCGCTGCAGCAGCATTCGGCATCAGAGTTGACGTCACAGCTTCGTGACCGCGCGAGGGCGCAACCAATAGGGAACTGGAAACGGTATCGATACCGCTACTCCCCGGGCATCTCTCTGGTTGCGCTCTGACCATGATTTCGAGGCGAATCCAGCGGTGGCGACGAGGGCCTCGAAGGAGGCCCCAAAAGGGGAAAACGGGCAAAGGATAGTGGTATGGGTACCTCTTCCTTCTCCGAGTCAAGCACAACCACGGCGACACGCCGCCGAAATGCGTGCGCTTGCGCGATGGCGCAATGGCGTGAGAGAAAAGCTCGGGGCCGCTCCGCCTTGGCGCACCCCGCCTGACGCCGGCCTCCACGTCTCTATGTCTCCAGTGCTACCCGTCGGGGCGCCCTCGTGTGGACTGGGCACGCCCCTTCTCTTCAGGGTGGCCGCGCGGGAGCGCGAGCATGGTCGCGCTCTGGCACGGCACGATGTACGAGGTCGGGGGGGTGAGTCGGTGGCTCCAAGATTCAGGTTCGGCAATTCTACTACAGGAGGTCCATCGAGAAAACCAGCCGAAATCTTCGGAACATCTTCAGCAGAAAACTCAACCTTCCCAAAAACTTTAAAACAACTCTAAGCCAAAACCTGTGGAAATCTCAAGCTCTAAAAACACTTCAAAACATATCTAAGCCAAACCTTGCGAACATCTTAAACTGTAAAACAACTTCACACAATGTGTAAGCCAACACTTGCGAACATCTCAGACTCTAAAACAACTTCAGAAAACATCATGACCATAACCTGCGAACATCTCAACATTTAAGCCAGATTTTGCATTTAGATGTTGTTTAGGGTTGTTCCAGAGTTTGTTTTTGAGTTCGCCAGGCGGTCAGAAATTCGTTTCGAATTGTTTTAGAGTTTCCCGATAGTTCCCAACCATCCTGTGGTGTTGGGTCCTCGTTTTGAAGAGACAGCGCCCCGCGTCTCACCTCCCGCTGCCCTCCCCCCCCTCCTCCCCCCTCCTCCCTGCGTTTCACCCACCCAGTACAGCGTTTCGTGGCCCCATAGGGAGCTCCACTGAAGGCTCCAGTGGCTGCGTTCGCATGGCGGCCCCGCCCCATTTCGGCACACCCCTCACGAGGATCGTGGCCCATAGGGAGCTCCACCGAAGGCCCCAGTGGCAGCGTTCGCATGGCGGCCCCGCCCCATTTTGGCGCACCCCTCACGAGGATCGTGGCCCATAGGGAGCTCCACCGAAGGCCCCAGTGGCAGCGTTCGCATGGCGGCCCCGCCCCATTTTGGCGCACCCCTCACGAGGTCGTGGCCCCATAGGGAGCTCCACCGAAGGCCCCAGTGGCAGCGTTCGCATGGCGGCCCCGCCCCAGCACCCCTCACGGATCGTGGCCCCATAGGGAGCTCCACCCCCAGTGGCAGCGCATCGCATGGCGCCCCGCCCTCATTTCGGCGCACCCCTCACGAGGATCGTGGCACCATAGGGAGCTCCACCGAAGGCCCCAGTGGCAGCGTTCGCATGGCGGCCCCGCCCCATTGTGGCTCACCCCTCACGAGGATCGTGGCCTCCACCGAAGGCGCCAATGGCAGGGTTCGTATGGCGGCCTCGGGCCATTTCGGCACACCCCTCACGAAGATCGTGGCCCCATACGGAGCTCCACCGAAGGCGCCAGTGGCAGGTTCGCATGGCGGCTCGGGCCATTTCGGCACACCCCTCACGAGGATCGTGGCCCCATAGGAGCTCCACCGGAGGCTCCAGTGGCTGCGTTCGCATGGCGGCCTCGGGCCATTTCGGCACACCCCTCACGAGGATCGTGGCCCCATAGGAGCTCCACCGAAGGCCCCAGTGGCAGCCTCCCTCATGGCTCTTAGAGCCCTCTCCTGCTTCTGCTCCTCGGTCAGGGGGGCGCCGTCCTCGTCGTCGTCGGCGCCCGCGAAGACGGCCACGAACGTGTCCCTGAGCATGTCGGGCTCCGGCGGGAAGTTGTGGCCACATCGGGAGCGCGGGCGAAGATGTTATTCACAATTGCGGTAGCCACAACTGCGTATGGTTGGGTCTTTCGCCAGGCTAATTTTTTAGAGTCTGTTTGGCGTGTGTTTAAAGTTCGTTTTATGTGTACATGTTTTAGGCGTTTAGAGTTATTAAGGAGTTGGTTTCAGTCTTGTTGTTTTATACACATGGTTCGGGGAGTTGCGATTGTTAGGTTATACATCACAAGTTGTCTAGATGTTTTAGAGCTTTCTAGAATCCCGTCTTTGAGTGTTTTGTTTAGGTTTGAGGTTTCCCCAGGTTTCGGTTTAGAGTTTTTGCAGTTGGTTTAGAGTTTGAGATTTTCGCAGGTTTTGGTTTAGAGACGTTCTGAAGTTTGTGAGAGCCTGAGATTTTGCACAGGTTTTGGCTGACAAATGTATTGACTCTTTTTTTTTCGAGTTTGAGATTTTCGCAGGTTTTGGTTGCGATATTTTTTGCAGTTGTTTTTGAGTTTGAGATTTCCGCAGGTTTTGGCTTAGAGTTTTTTTGAAGTTTTTGGGAGGGTCAGTTTCTTCGCCCGATATGGCGGTGGACCGCCCGTAGTCGCTATTGCCGAACTGGGGCGCTGAGGGTAGGGGTCGTACAACCCCGTGCGAAAAGAAACTTGTGTTTTTTCTACACGCACACACACCAAATTTCAACGTGCAATGCGGTGCCGATCTGTTTTTTCGAACTTCGCCGGTCTCACGATCAACACTGAAATGGGGGGCCAGGGCGCTCACCAAACACCAGTTGCTTTTCGCGCGGGGTTGTAAAGACGAGGTGTCTCGAACAGTGCAAATCCAACCTTGAACCCCTTCCTACCTTACGACCCCATCCCTCAGGATCCCAGTTTTGAATCTCCGATTGAGGATTCCCGAGAAGCAGAAAAACAGCATGACCGTGAATTTTTGGAGGTCTTGGATCTGCGCTGGCCTCGCCCTCCTCGCCCCCTCTCGAATGGCAAAACAGACGGCACACGCGCAAACCAGAGAGAAGGCCCGCGTGGGCTTTTCGGATCGGCGCTGGGCCCCCCCCTTTGGCGGCGCTGGCCCCCTGTGGTCCAAGAAATCTGCGCGGACCTCCGAAATTGTAATAATTACGGCATTGTTTATTCCCCAATCAGTGCTTGCACTGAAGGGTTCCGAGCGGATACTGGAAGATTTGGCGACAGTTTACCGCCGATTTTGGTAGCAGGCTGGGTTCCCGGGTTCCGGTTCCTGGTTCCCGGGTTCCTGGTTCTTGGTTCCGGGCCGTTTTCTGTGGGTTTTTGGTCCCGGGTTCCTTGGCTCTCGGTCGATCACTTTATCGATATTTTATCATACGATTCATTATCGATCTCATGATCGATCTCGCGATCTCAGCATCGATCTCATTATCCATCCACTCATTGTGGTTTTTCTCCGGTGAAATTTCTTTGTTCTACTCACTGCCTCCGAGTGGCCATCCGGGTTGTTCAGTTGGGTTTCGCGGCGTCGTGATCGTTGAGATTTTGGTGTCCGCCATTTGGGCCCCCTTCTTGGTAAATCTACGATTACTGCGGACAGCGTTTGGGAGCGGCCAGCTGGTTTCGGACGGGGCTTCCGGAATGCTCTCAGAGCTTTCCTGCATGCTCTCAGAGCGTTCCGGAGCGCTTTGAGAAGGCCGCGGCGCCGGAGAGATCCTCCAGAACCGCCGGATCTAAGAGTTTCCTGATGTATCCTCACCCGATGTTCTCTTCGTCCTGGCTTCGTCTTAGGTCTTGGCAGGGCTCCCCACGGTCCGATGTGAGCCGATCCGATCCCCAGGCACTGAGTTCAGTTTCGGTCTGATCCGATCCGGCACGAGCCAATTTCCTCTTTGTGGCTTGCGGGTGCCGAGCCCGAGGAGCGATCCATTCCGAGTCGATTCCGCGACGACTCTGGCACAATATCCGTCAGGGGAGCAAGCGGTCGTGATAATGATGCGTTCCAGGATTTCCAAGGCTTCCAGAATTTCCCACGGTTCCTGATGTTCCGTATTGGCTGCGCCGCTAGATATTCTGGAAATGTTGGAATGCATTTTGAGCCAATCTTATCATAACATTTTCCTCGCTCGAACCCGATCCGTTTCCGATCCGATCCGACTGCGCGATTCGATCCAGCTCAGGCCTGCAATCTGGCTCTCCCAGGCCTGGGGTCTTCTCGACACGAGATGGGGGAGACTGAAAGAGGGGGTACGAAGTCTGCTGCGTGCAGCTGGTTTCTACCTGCCGCAGGGCGTTTTCCCAGATACACTGGCGCCTCAGGCGTCGGAAGGCGCGGGGAAAACCAGTTACTTGAGCTGATTCGCTAAACCCCCGTGTTACTAATCGGCGGCGAGCCCGGGAGGAGTGAGAGGGGGTGGACCTTCTCAGAAGGCTCAGGAGTCCCGCCCGGCCTGCTTCCCCCGAAGACGAGAATTTTTCAGAGGCCCGATGGCTTCTGAGAAGTCCCGCCGCCTTCTGCGAAGGCCTTCTCCTTCTCATTCCCCCGCCTCGCTCGCCGCCGAACCAACCTCCCTTTCGTCCGACCCGATTCCCCTGCCCTCGCTCCCCCCCCCTCCGACTGCACGTTTCCCCGGGGCCGAGCGGGCGAGCCTTCCTTCGGCTGCACGCAAGACCGACCCTTCGCCGGAGTGACCTTAGGTGCGGACCCACGGGTACTCGCCGATAGCCGACGAGATGCGAAAGCTTCGGCTGGCGCGTGTGGGTTTGGGCCCCTTTGCGGCCCCCGATTGCCGTGCACCAAAGGTCACTCTTGCCCAGGATCGGTTTTTGCGTGTAGCCGATTCTTTTCTTGTGCCAGTGAGCACGAGTTGACAGAACACAGCCTCCGTTTCTCCCTTGAGATTTGACCTTGCGAAAAACATACGGCATCGCGAATAATTACAACCAGAGCCCTCGACCCTATCTTTCTGTTGCATTTTTCGAACTGGATCGGTCTGTGATGGTCCCTGGGCCCAACGCAGGGATCTCAGATTATCCTTCCCTTCTTCCCCTGCCTCCCTCGCTCCCTCCTTCGTTCTTTGTTCTGGCTCGGGCATTGCGAGGACGCCCGCGCTCAGAGAAGTCGACTGAGTAAATCTGCATCGGTTCACTCGGCATTGGTATTCGAGTCTACTGGTACAGTGCTGTGTCGGTTTCGCTTATCGACTTGAGTATCACCAGAAAAAAGAAGCATGTCCCTAAACAGTGTTTGCGCTGAAGGGTTCTTACTCCTCTAATGAAATGTGCCTGTCTGTCGGTCTGCCGCCGTCGCCGCCCCGTCGCCGCCTCGGTGCCGCCCGTCGTCTGGGCCTGTCTGTCCGTCGCCGCGTTTGTTGCCACCGTCGCCGCCACGTCGCCGCCCCATATCGATTCCACATTATATATCGCACCGCGTAGATTGCACAGCACAATTCGCACAACATATATTGCACAACGCTGATCGCACCACATACATTGCACACCACATACATGGCACACCACATAGATGGCGCATTTATATGTTTATATATATATATATATATGCTTCCCCCCCACATGATCATACATATTCTCCCCTCCCTCTTCTGCTCCCCGCTCTCCGTCGCTCTTCCTCATCCGTTTTGTCATCCTGACGATGATGACGATGATGATGATGATGATGATGATGGTGAGGATGCTGAGGATGCTGATGATGATGGCGATGATGATGGCGACGATGATGATGAAGATGACGATGATGAGTAGGAAGACGGAGGATTGCAGAGGATGAGGAACTAAACATGCTGAGAAATGATGATGAACAGAAGGGTGATGGGGAGCTAGGTTTGATGAGCGATTCCAGTTATCATTCATGCCACCTTCATTCATTGTTGCTATTTTTTTGCAATTGAGGTCCAGCGCGCCCCCTGAAGCGCCGCTGGCGCCAGGCAGCCATGGGTAATCCTCCGAAGGGCTCGGCCGAGCACCACCGCAAGCTTGAGGCCAACTACAAGTACAAACGATGCAGGAAAACGCTATGTTTTCTTCAAACGAGACAGTTCCCTCAATGGAAATGAACCCTTGTAGGGGCGTGTGAAGAGGGAGCTTGGATGGAGGGATATTCCAACACCGCTGATGACTCTCGAGTGTCCACTGGTCCTCCTCCTCCTCCGCATCCTCCTCCCCCTCCTCCTCTTCCTCCTCCTCCTCCTCTTTCTCCTCCTCCTCCTCCTCCTCCTGCTCCTCTTCCTCCTCCTCCTCCTCCTCCCCCTCCTCCTTCTCCTCAGCCTCCTCCGCCTCCTCTTCCTCCTCCTCCTCCTTTTTCTCCTCCGCCTCAACCTTCTACTCCTCTTCCTCTTCCTCCTCCTCTTCGTCCTTCTCCAAAAGTAGCAGTGATATTATTAGGAACGCTCATGTTATGGGTAATTGTAGTACTAGTAGTA